GGAAGGAATATAGTCAGTTAATACATGTGAGCTGAAAATAAATTGGATTAAGAAAATTTGGGGGTTTGGAAAAAAACAAAAGAACTCCTCTAGTTCCTTTGAGCATCTGTGTTGGTCTAATTTACACCATAGTTCAAGAGAGTAAAGAAAATTACTAGAGCTCCTTTTTAGGTCATAAACCGCACAGAGACTCTAATGAAAGCTATGGACTCTTTTGGAAAAAGGCACACTGTCCCACTCATTTCTAATTTTACATACAACTACAGAGGTTCAAGGACTTCAAAGCCATTTCTAAATTAAGAATCTAAACTAGAGATGCTTATACTGATTGTAGGAGGGAGGCTTGTGACAGAAACATTAAAGGCAGTAGTGAAGAAAGAAAAGACGAAAAGACTGCCACAAACTTTTTAAGCAGTCTGGGAGCCACAAAATTGTAATCAAAGGACCTTACATTTACAGTGAACCATGGGGACATTGTTTTATAACAGAAAAATAGTGATAAAACAAATATGGGAATGGATTTAGAGATTCTAATTTAAGCATTGCATATGATAGCCATTGTGCTGTAAGTTTTCTTAATTTATAGCTAAGAATTTTTAGTCACCTAAAATCTGGACAAAAACATTTGAGGAATCACTTATAGACTTGAAGTTTTTTCTCCCATAAACCTTTTTGTCTCCAAAGATTACATTTTATCCCCAAATCCTCATGACTATTCCTCCTTAGCCAAAGTAAGACAAAGAACTTTTACAAAATATGGACAAGCACACTGAAATTTTTACAACAGTGAATTTTTTTCAGAAGTATTTTTCCTTTATAAGCTAAGCTGCTGTTGATTCCTTTTCACAGTAAGGTACAACTGATTCTTTTGATAGATTTAAATGTGGTAACCTTAAGATTTAAATTTTTTTTTTTAATTCAAAATTAACACATTAAACTGTATTACCAGATTTCTCCCCCTTTATTCTAGCCTGTTCCAATGGAAAATCCTTATAAGGAGCCTCTTAAAAAATGTGTCTTGTGTGGAAAACGTGTAGATTATAAGAATGTGCAGGTAAGATCTGGTTTTACTTTACTGTGATACTTGATTTTAGGTGCTTTATATTAGTCCTAACTAAAGAGAATCAAGTCTCTTTTATAACAGGCTTTTATAGGGGTAGCTGTTTTAGCAACTTTGTAATTTCAAATCTGGTTATATTTCTGTGTATAAGGCATTTCTGTTGTATTCTAATAACTCCTTGGCTCTCCCTCATTTACTATTATTTCAGCTCAGTATTTCTTCCTATTTTCTTTCTCTGTCCCAGTGTCTTAACAAAAGCTCACTATAGTGGTAATTCTCAGTTGGAATTGAGTTGGAAAAAGCTCCTCTGGTGAAGTTGATCTCTGTACCTCATCACCAATATCACTGCTTCAAACATAATTTTATCTGTTATCCAGCAACTCAGCAAATGAAGTGGCAAATCTGGGGTAGAGAATGATGCTAGAGTTAAGTACACTGACAGTAGTATAAAATGATAGTTGTTGCCTTAGAGGGAGAAAAGCCAAGAAATCTTACAATGCAACATATTAGGAGGTTTATGCATAGTACCAAGAATACTGCCTGGCACATGGAAGGCATTAAAGAATTTAAATTGACAAAACATAAATTACAGCAAGTGGCTTGATATTTTTTTATCTGTACCTCTTGAAGACCTCACTGTCATCTGATATTGTGATAGCCTACCATGGTAGATGAAATGTTTTAGTACCTTGTTGTGAACAGCAGTATTTTAGAAAAGTATCTCTTGAAAAAGTCAAGAAAACAACTTTAAAACTGAAAGAATATATTCATTAATCTGCTGTATATACTTTTTTGGACACAATGTATAAGAGATGTTTAATAATTTAGTTATTTGAAAAGATGATCCATTAATAAGATGAGCATAGTTCAGTATTTTCATATTTTATGAAGTTTGTCTGAAATTTATTAACCATATAACTTGAAGGTGTGATATAAGGTGCTTTTTAAAAAATTTACACAATCAAGGTTAACAAATGTATTAATGTAAATTTTTTTTCCTTTCCAAATAAAACTCAAACAGCTTTTGTCCCAGTTTATTTCTCCATTTACTGGCTGCATTTATGGAAGGCACATAACAGGTATTGTTTTCCCTTAATAGCAACTTAAGTGTAGATCAGAATTACATAAATCTGCTTCTGTTAAGAAAACTGGCAAATTTCCATATAGTGCTATAAATCACTATTAGAAAGCTTAGTATTAAGAAAGCATCTTCTTAGGCCAAAAGGGGTGTTATTTTGTATGTCTCATGTTTAGAGGTAACTATAAACTGACAACATGTAGAATACTTGTGTTTAAAAAATTGTGTTGATATTTTGGAGTATTCTATAGTCATTCCGAGACTATTATTTAAGTGGGCATATTTCCCATAGGCCAAACCAGATAGCTTAGTTTACATAGTGTCTATGGCTGGCTGCTTTGTGAGCTAAAAAAGTAGAGTTGAGAAGTTCTAACAGACTGTATGACCCGCAAAGCTTAAGATACTTTGTCTGGCTATTTACAGGTTTTCCAATCCTTCCTTGACATAGACAATTGTTATATGTATTTTGAATATTGGTATGTTTTTATGAATAAGAAATCCTTTTCTATAGGTCTTTGTGGGAAGAAGCAAAAAGAAATCACAAAAGCTATTAAGAGAGCTCAAATAATGGGTAAGAACATCTGAAAAAATGAGTTGGGCTAATCAAAATTTTGCTCATTTTTTGTGAAGAACTTTATTTATCTCTTTACAGGTTTTATGCCAGTTACATACAAGGATCCTGTGTATCTCAAAGACCCTAAAGTTTGTAATATCAAATATCGGGATTAAATTATCTAATGTTATCAATAAAGTTATTTTTACAATAAATGGTTGTTGACTCAAACCATAAGATTTAATAAACTTTAGAAAATAGGCTAAATCCTCACAAACTATAAAGTTTTTAGCTTTAAATATGAAATCGTATGAAGAAAAAGTTTGAGTAAAAAAGGGGAGTTTCTTGTCCATACCAGTGAATGTTCAATAAAACCTGATTATTTGAAACACTACTCATTACATTTTACATACATGAATTAAAAAACTGGTACTGTAGGATAGCTAATACAATAATAGAACACTGATAATTGGATATTAAATACGGAAGAGATGACTTGTATTGGAATTTTACTTTAGGTCCAGATTCTGTCTTGTAAATAGAATTTTAGGTATATGCATGCAAGAAAGTGGAATGCTTGTATAATGTAAAAATCCCTGTGACACAATGTAGACTTGAAATTGCTCAAGGAGATTTTCTAATTAGCAATTACAGGTATGCCTGGCTAAGACAATAGATCTTCCCTTTTAGAGATGTTACTTTGGGTGGATGGTGGTGCTGTCACGGGACCTAACATTGCTGGAGTAATATATCCTGAAACTGGTAGTGGCCTTTAAATAAACCAATCCATAAGCAATGTATTATGTCATCTTATCTTACTCCAGTGATAAAAACTAATTGTCAAAAGATGAAGAGAAACTGGAAGTAAATGTCCTATAAGGACAGTGTTCCTCCTTTTCATTGAATACCCTGAAAGTTGGGCCATCAAACTCAATTGTGGAAGTTCAGCTGTGTACTAATGACCTGAGCAAGCTTCTCTATGATTTAAAGTTTAGTATTGCTTTCTTCCAAAGAGATGGATTTCTGTGCAAAAGTATGAGCTAAATAGTTTTGTACCTCTATAGCATTTTAGTAAATTGAACAGTATGAAGGCACGTTTAGACTTCAGTTTGAGTAAATATGTCTTTGAAAAATCTCAAGCTATTGTCTAGAGAAGACATTTGCACATGTTGGCTGCTTGTTGCTTCTGCTGTACCTAGTCTAGCCTGTGTACCCAGTTTTGTTCATTTGTTGATTGCATTTAGTCATTATGTTCTATATGGTAAGTTCTATATGCCATGGTGATACTTGTGGTTATTTTTAAATTAGGGTTCAGACTGACGAACTGTTTCCCCTCTTGCCCTTCGTAACACCACAGTGCTGCTTATATAACCAGTAAAACAATCCCAGTAAGAAATTCATTATTTGTACAAATCATCCCTGGTATTATGTGGGCTTCATAAGCACCCGACGGTAACTAATGCATGTTAACACATACGTAGAAGATGATAGTTTTTGATACTATCTAACCTATGAATTTGCTCTATCACTTAGGAAGTAACAGATGGAAGAGCAATAGTCAAAGTGTGTTAGCATTTCATCTAGTGAGCGAAACACGAAGGCTTCATGTGATGTGTATGCTTCATGGAAAAGTCTCACAATTATGGAAAAGACAAATACAAAAAACAGTAAAAGCTCTAAGCCAACCTCCACTTAACCAACTCACTGGATTAAAATGGGGCTTTACATCCTTCCTAAAAATTACTGAAGCCCAAGACTCTCCTACCTGTTGAGTTCTGCATTGCCTAGAATCAGTTATTTTGTACCCAGACCTGTTAGTTGTATTTATTGTATTGATGAAAAATGAGCATTAAAAAGAAAGTTACTGTTGCAATAAAAACTAAATGCTTTGGAATGACAATAAAAATAGCTTTAAAAAAAGTTGTCAAATTAGGTGCAGTTAGGACAACTGAGTAAGACTGGAAATGGAGGTTGCTTTAAAATGAAAAACACCTACTAGCATTTTGTACTTAGGTTATTTTGCAAGTTTCTTTAAATTCTTCACTTTAAAGAAACCACACTACGCCGTGCTGCATTAAGTTGTGCCATAATTAGAACTGCCAGATTTAGCAGATAGAAATACAGTACATACAATTAAATCTGAATTCCAATAAGTTTTTGGAATACAGTACATACAATTAAATCTGAATTCCAATAAGATAAACAATAAGTTTTAAATATAACTATGTACCTAATATTGTATGGTGTTCAGCATTTATCTAGCAACCCTAGCCATAATGTACTTATCATAATTTAAGGAGTAGGAATTGTAATGACTTAGAAACAATTAAATACATTTTCATATTTAGACTTATTTCTATTGTGAAAATAAGGCTAGTCTCCCAATTCTAAAGAATGCTGTACAAGTTTAAAATATATTTAAACTTCTCTCGACAGTTTAATAAAAGGGGCAAACGATTTTGGTTTTAAAAGTATCTGATATTTAAAGTACTTTATAAAATAAATGCACTAGGGACTTATTCATGTGTTACTGCAAATAGCTGAATATAGCAAAAACAATAGAAATGTTTGACCCTTTAGCCAATCAAAAATCTTTCAGCCTAAAAGAATCAAAATGTAGGAGACTGTGGATAATCACCAGAACCTTTCATTTTCTCAAAGTCTTCATCTGTTTCAGGGCTGCTTGTGGATGCTTTTTCTTGGTTACTACTATCAGTATCTGTTTTAGATAGTTTGTTTTGTATCTCTAACAGCCGTGACTTCTTGAATTGCCATCTGTCATCTGTATCTAAAGCTTTACGCTTCAGCTGGAGAGTACTACTAGCTGGACTAGCTTCAGGAAGGTCAGTGTACTCTACCATTAAGGTCAGGTTGTCTACCACATTGAGGTGGTGGTTGGTATTACAGCTACTTTTAGAAATATGCCTGTTTTTCAAGGACATAACACATGAATGAAGAAATTCACAATCTGGAAAAAAGGTCCGTAAAGCTTGACAAAGAAAAGTGTTCTCCTGAGGTTCTTTTTGGATATTCTTCTCTCCTAAACAAAAATAAGATAACAGTTAAACATATATTTCTTCTGCAAAGCATTTATAATTACCTACTTGTTAGTATGGTTAAGTCAAGAACTCTTTAACAGTTTTATCAAATTATCTAAAGTGAGAAAAATGACATGCATAATCCCAAATTGTAACTCATGCCACAATATTCTAAGAAAATCAGTTATATTCTTTAATATCAATAATAATAGTGTAGCTACAATAGTACCCTGTTCTTTGTTCAGTGGGATTTAAAAGTATTAATAACGATTGCTTTTAATGTTAAAGTGGACAAATTCATTAGTGCAGTTGGCTCATTCACAATTCAAATCAGAATTTTTTGAAAGCATAGTAGTAATGTGTGAATTTTTTACTTACGTGTTGCTTCAATCTGAGCTTGTTTTCTTTTTTTAATTTCTTGTTTTAATCTGTTTACATCCTTTAGTAGTTTCTCTACTGCTTGCTCACTGTGTTCTACTTTTTTGCATATACTCTATAAAATAATTTAAGGGCACAGATAAAATTCCAAGTTGTATACTACAGTCTAGGTTCAAAAATAATATAAAATCCTTCATGGTACATAATATCAAATGTTATTTGCCTTTAAAAAAATTTTAATTTTGCTGTTTTCTGGAGGAACTCCACAACAAGCATTTGTATGATACTTTATATGTTATAAAAAGCTTTACAGGTGTATTAACTTCCCATTTATATGTAGCTTTATCGTACCAGTTATTTCCTTAATAATACACAGAATTAAAAAAATATATATTTAACTCACTTTGAAACAAAAAATACTGTGCTAATTTGAAAGGTGCATAGTTACCACCAACATTTAACATTAAAGAAAAGCGACTGTATTTTAGTGTTATGAAATAATTTTCATATAGGAATTTTATAATTCCTATAAAAGAAACTTTTGTAAACTAGACTGGCCTGTGTCATCACTTTGAAGTTTAACATCCTCTGACTCAGTGATTTCATTTGGGGGTGTAGCTTAACAAAATTTATATAAGATGATGTTTCTTAGAATAATATCAAATCAAAAGTAACTGCTTTCCAATTAATAGGGTATTAGGTTGTTATAGCCAGTTTTAGTGGATACTTTTTAGGATGTCTGCTCTGCCTACTTCTCACGAACTTGTTCGCCCTGTTGTTAAGGATTTGCCAGTAACCCCTTCACCAACTTCACCCTAGCTGACCCAAGCAGAGATATGACATAGCATATTAACAAACCCTAATCTCTTGAATAGAAGAGATTTTAATGCAGGAGCTGTGGGATGGCCATTCTCTCATTTCCAGTGGGTGAGTAAACAGAAAGATCTGTAGTTACTGTGAAGAAACCAATGTGCAGACACAAAGGGAGAAAACGTTCTGATAGCACTCCAGCTCCTCATTCCAGTTCCTTCCTGAAGCTCAGCTGCTTTCTGCATACAGTTCCTGTAACATACCTCTACTTTCCCTATTTTAGCCCAAGTTAGTACTTTTAACCTAAGAGTTCTAATATACTGCTCGATGAAATACACTGCTATTAAAAAGAAAAGAATATGTAGCAACATGAAAAATGTTTAATGATATATCAAGTAAATAAAAATCATGAAACATTTATATGCCCTCTTCACTGTCAAGTATGTAAAAGCATGTATACATTAGGGAAGAATTGGAGAGTATGGCGAAGTAAAAGTAGTTATGTTGCAATGGTGGAATTCTGGGTGTTTCTCTATTTTCTAAAATTCCTATATTATCCATAGTAGGAGTGTGTAAAATGTATTAAACCCATCTCTCTTAGAGTGTTATATTGATAAGTGTAGTGGCTGGCCATGGAAATATACTACCTAGATCTCCATCTAGAGGAAGCATAGTTGACTGACAGCCTCAGCTGCCAACCTTTTGGGTCCACTACTGTTTCTGTGCTTGGGCCAGACTTCCCCTAGGCTTAGTAACTGAGTACATTGAGAGTATTATTACAAGTCTGTTCCTACAGGACAGCTTTGCTCAGACTTCACATCAGCCTGGCTGAAACTTTTTTAGCTCTGCAGTCTAAAGCTTCCTGTCCTACCCAATCATCCTCCCTTCCCTGTTTCCTTTCTCAGGTACTCCCTCCTCTCTATCCTCAGGCCCAATATATCTCTTGCTTGTCTAAACCCATCTTGATGTCTACTCAAAGGACCTGAACTGCCACAGTTAGCTAGAACTGAGTACTGTGGTAGATTGTTTTGTTCCCAAATATTTGCTTCCCTTTTTATCCTGTAAAAGGATTATATATCCCTGCCTGTTGTCATGTGATATCCTCCAGCCAATGAAATATGAGTGGAAGTGACAGGCCTGAGCAGTTTTAAGAGATGTTGTGAGTAACCACTAGCTTTCTTGTGCCACATAAGGGCTGCTTCTATAATGTGGATCCTAGAATGAAGATAACAGGAAAATATAGTATGAGTGGCTACTGTATTTAAAGGCCATAGATTGAGGTCTTTGTTACCAAAACTAAACTAAACTAAACTAAAATATAAATCTAATCAAATGTCAGGTTATCCCTAAAAAATTTCAGTGATCAATTTGATATGAACACTAGAAGTGGTCTTTAAGTGTTAGATAAGTTAATTTACCTTTAATTCTTCTTGTAAAGAAGCATACATTTCATTTATCTTGTGTACCTCCTTTAAAGATCCATCTTCTTTAAAAAATTCAGGGCTGTAAAAAATTACCATTTCCTCAGTGTACAGAATTCATTTAATTATATGATGAAAAACTTCTTTGTAGTTGAGCAATGGAAGAATCATAAATGATATGCTGCTGATTTTAAGTTATCAAAAATTGAATAGGAATAAGTTTAGTGAGGAAGCAACTGAGGAATCTCACCTGTGTGTTTTGACTGCTCGGCTAAAACCAGCGGACATACGGGAACCTGATACAGTTTTATAACCCAGTTGCTCAGACATGCCCAGATTGGCCACCACTAAAGGTATCCTATGAAAAAGTCTGAAGAAATAAAATTTTTAAACATAAACTTAGAATAAAGTGAAAGATTGGCATCTACTTATTAGTATAGACTACCTTTTCCTACAAGATTAAAAAACAAACAAATTGCCATTCCTTACTACTTATTGAAGACAGAATTTACTGACTTGAGGAAAATGGTTTTAAAAGTTGCAAAGTATATACAGTGTAAAATAATTATGTGAAAAAAAATACTTTAAGGGCTATTTTAACTGATAAGCACATATAAAAGGCAGTATTGTTGAGATCCTGTCCTCCATAAATAATATTAACATTAGTTGGTACTCTCAACTTAATTCTCATAGTCCATGAAAATGTTGTGTACACAGCCTGTGGGGAGTCCCTGTTGACTCATTCTGGTGGGCCATCAAGAACTACCGTGCTTCCCCACAGAGGTTACAGTAGAGCTGCTCAAGTGCCGAGGCTTACATTCTACATTATATCCTTTACCAACTAGTATTTAAAGCACATAGTTTTTTCCATCTTATGGTAAATAAAAGCAAATCCTCGGTATCAGAAACACAAGTCAACATTCCACACTGGGCTTCTAATTTCCTTATCTGACCTTTGTTTTCCCATCTATAAAAATCAGATGGGAAGACAGACTTCAGAGTATTATTATGACAATCTAATGCAACAACATATGAAAATACTTGGTAAGCTGCAAAAAGTACTATAAAAATATTGGGTATATTTTTCTATTAGCTGAAGATAGCTAGTGACTGGCCAACATTTACCCTTTCTGAGGTTTATATAAGGCATGCTCCAGCCGATGGGTAGAGTAGCTTTCTGTTACTACACTTGGTGTTAACAGCAGAAAAACAAGCTCCTGGCTTGAAAGATGCTGCTGTAAGTTTTTGTGAAGCAGTCTCTCTCGAAATGTCATAATCTGGTCTGAATGACGTCGGAATTTGTACCAACCAACCACATCCTGAAAGAAAATACAGGAAATATCAGGTGTATACCTTCATGGTTACAATTATAATGTGTCTTGTTAACAAAAAAATTGACAGCTTTAAAAATGCCTTTAATATTCAGCAAGGTTTGGGGCATATTTAAACAAGCATACACTTAAATATACACTTTACACTTTTATAAAGTATGCAAACTGACTTGGAGTTAAATTACTTTCCATTCAGTTATAGGGCTAGTTTTACTTAATGTAGATTCTTAACTTCCCTTAGTTTCTTTATGACATTTGCTATCTTAAAGTCTTAATCTTTTTTTTTTTAATGCCTACAACACCTGGTATTCCTAGGTGGTCTCCTATCCAAGTACTAACCAGGCCAGACCCTGCTTAGCTTCTGAAATCAGATGAGATTGGGCATATTCAGGGTGGCAAAATCTTAATCTTTGGTCAAAATTTAAATGAAGAAAATGTCAATGAAAACAACAATTTCCTGTATGGATACTTGGTTTGCCAAATAACTGAAATAAATAAGCTTAACCTAATAGTTTTCAAAACTGAAATTTATATGAGAATATCACCTACCCCACAGAGTTGGTTTCAAGACTGAATAAGACCATGTAAAAGGCTTTTATAAGCTGTATCATGCTAAACATGTTGTATTACTAAAACTTTATCTTTTTAAACTGGAAAAATAAGCCTCATTTGCTGAAAACTTAATAAGCATAAAAAAGAGAAAAACAACCACTTTGCTTAGAGATACATCTGTGACAGTTTCAGCAACTTTCATATCTGTTCATTTAAATTGAGGAAATTAAAATTATGTTTTAAAACAAACTTTTATAGGTACATTTTTAAATACCCAAATATAATCGTAGGGGAAAGACTAAGCATTTTCAACAAAGGATTTTTTTTGAAAGAAATTTCTTTTACTGAATTTACTTTTATTGTCAAGTCAGATTTAAAATTTTAAGAAAAAAGTACCCAGAAAAAAATTCTGTATTTAGGAAAAAAATCTATTTCAGTTATTCAGTAAGTTTTAACTGAACACCAGGTATGCTGCGGAGGATTCAAATTAAGGTGCTATGTAGGAAATCATCCCTGCACTATAAAAATTAGTAACTGCAGCTATATAAAACAGTAATTGATTAACTCATTTCCCGTTTGCCCCAAGCAAACTCGCTGGCGGCACTTGCAGGTGCAGTGTTTACCCTGATAACTTGCCGATTATGGTCCTAACTTTACCCCCAAAATTAGCCTCAAAATATCTTGCTTTTGTTATTATTTTCACATTGCTCTAGTATATCCATAGTCTTTGGAAACAAATGACATCATTCTACTTATAGCATTCTGTTTTTAGTAGTGGTATTTCCATTTACAAAGTATAGTAATTTTCGATTGCTGAAAATGTCAAATTCTAGAAAACGTTGCATTCCTACATGTGATGTTAACACTGTTCTCGAACAGTTGTTAGCCGAAGATTCATTTGATGAATCCAATTTATGTATATGTTTCTGTTACATCAGGATTAGAGACAGGTTCTGTTTAGAAATAACTCCAAGGATGAGAACAAGGTTAATACTTTTTTTTAAGGTTAATACTTTTAATGACTAGTTTTACTTTTAAGTAACTCCTTTGAATTTCTGGAAAGAACAAGCCTTTCCTCACCTGCCTTATAGAACATTATGAACACAAATGCTGCTTAAAAGTTTTGTCAAAGTAGTACATATTTTTATGAACTCAAAGTAATACTTATAATACCAAAAGAAGACAAGGTAAATCAAGAATACCTTTTTAACACTTGATAGTATTTTCCTCAGTGCTTGCTCATTTAATTCCCCAGAAGAATTGTAAAAGCTGTAAAAGCCAAAATTAAAGGCATTTCAAATAAGCTAAAAATATGATTTTATTAGCACCTTTACTTCTAGTTACTCCTAACCTAACTTCCAACCAATACCTACTTGCCTGTCAGATGAAGTTCTAAAATAAATAACAGAGAAAGTTCTCAAATTAACAGACCTAAAGTGGTAGAAATATGATGTCCATAAGCAAAGAAAAAGGAATAGGAGTGAAGAAACTTCAGGAGATAAGTTTAGGCATTACATTTTTTTAAAACCTAAAACAAAACGATTTATTAAATACAGGTACATAGCCAGTTCACAATTCATTCACGATTTACTTAATGAAACTTAAAAAAAAAAAGACATTGATATATACAAGAGTATGTAAAATAATGAAGCATAATAACAAAAGGAGAATTTATTCAAAAGCCATACTTGTATCAAATTAAGAAATGTTATAGGAGTTTGTTGGGTTGTTTTTTTTGGGGGATGGGAGAGGCGGGCAAAGAATAGGTATTGGTTTAGTTTAGTGGTCTTTGTCCTGTAGTTGGAATGCCAAAGATGTAGGGAGACTTAAAAGACAATTTTAAAAAATTATAAAGCGTGTTTACTTCCAGCCTTCTTTCCCCTCCAATAACAGGGATTACAAGTAATATTTTCCTCTTTTTAACATTCATTGAGATAAATAATATTCTTTTCTATGATGGTGAAATATGTTATGCAAAATCCTTTACAAATAATAGTCACTGTAATGGGCTTTTACTGATAATTCTAATCTGTACACTGAAAAAAATTAAGTTACATAAAACTGAAAAGATACATCCTAATAGGCAATGTATTTTCTTTTTAACTAACAAAGACGTATTAAAATTTTTTCCATTCAAATTTTAATGGGAGATACAAAATAAAGTATTCCATCTACCAAAGGGGGATATTCGGCTGATAAAATAGATCCATTTTACTATTTATTATTCTAACATGAAAACTCTAAATACAAGAGTTTATTCTTGTATTTCTCTAGGAAAGTCCACTTCTGAGCTTCTCAAACTGGAGTATAAGGCAACGTACCAGAACAGGATAATGGTGTACATCTTCTGTGCAAGCACTGATTTTATGTGATGTTTCTGTTAAGGAGGGCATTTTAATATTGAAATAGATATATTGTGCAGTAGAATTCATGTTACATTACATAATTTTTTAAAAGGTGATATTAAGTTTTAGGCTCTAATGGCCTGTTTTCCAGGAACTTTCCCCCAGATTCCTGAGGTAAGCGAATCAGTGTATTCCTGTGGAAAACTCTGAGAAATGTATTAGAGTAGGTTTGGCAAACTTTTTGTGTAGAGGGCCAGGTAGTAAATATTTTAGGTTTTGCTGGACACATAGTCTTTGTTGCATATTCCTCTGTTTTTTGTTGTTGTTTTTTACAACCCTTAAAAAAGATATTAACTATTAAGAGATAGAGTGCCATATAAAAACGGGCATGGGACCATACTTTGTCACCCTCTGTATCAGAACATAAAACTGGATATTAAAGCTTATCCAATTTGGACTCCAAGAAATATGGTATTAGAAGACTGTTTTTAACATGTTCACCTATATTATTTAAAACGAGGAAGAAACAATGTGGTATGCTATTGGCTTGGAACTCAAGAAATCCTGGTGTGAACCCAGGACCTTCTGCATGTAAAGCAGACGTGCTAACCGCTACACTATGAAACCACATCTCGGTCTAATTATTTAAGATGGTTACCAGAAGATATTGAATCACTTTTTTTTGGACTCTCCCTTCTTAATCCTTTGCTGGTCTATAGTCCTTTAAGGAAGTGCTTTTTCTGGGTCTCCACCAAGAATCCCTTAGTCATCAACCAATATTTTTGTAGATCCATTATATTTAGGCACTATAGGAGTTATACCTCTTTTAGGTACAGCAGTATAAGACTACACTATGCCTTTATTTCTATCATCCCCTACCATAGATCTTTCTCACCTTAACCATATGCTCCACTGCAACTTACACAACCTTAGTGATGTGTACATAAGTGTGACTATAAGAAAATAAAGATGATTTTTCATAAAGCTATTTCAATAAAACTACACCATGTTGTAAGGGTGCCAGTGTTTGCTTTATTAAAATTCATTTTTTGTGTACTTTTCTGTATGTACATAACAATAAAAAATTTTCAAATACTTCAATAAAGTTTTAAAAAACATCACAGCCTATATTAGGGCTAACAATATTACTGCTATCTGTAGGACTAAGAACACAAATTTTCACCCTAGAAAAGCAATAGGAAGTAAGTTAAAGAATTTAACCAGTTAATAGACAAAAGATAACTTTAAAAATATGACAAGTGAGGAAACAGAAGATAAACTAGAATAAAAGGGTAGAAAAAAGGCTCCTGTTGATGTATAAGAATGTGTCACTGAGTTTAAAATATGCAATGAGATGAGTGGGCATGAGAAGGCAAAGCAACCCTCACGGTAAACTGGCACCTGGGAGAGGCCGTGGAGACCAGCTAAAGCAAGCACATAAATACAGAGAAAGAACTATTAGGGTAAAATTGACAAGTGAATTTTCATGTAATTTTAAAAAATCTTTCATTTTAATCAGTACCACCATGTATAACTGGTAACTAAGATACCTTGTTAGTTTTAAAAATTACTTCACTTGCAGAGAAAAATTTTCACAGTGGATCATTTACTTGCTCTTACTACTCACCTAAAAAGCTGATAGCATGGAATATATTTCTGAATGTCTGGAAAAAAATAATTTTTAGTTATGATTACATTGTCGTCTGAATAACATATTGAACACTTCATGCCAGGAAGTACTTTACCATTATCTCATTTAATCCTAACAAACCTACGAGACAAATGTTATCATTCCTTCCATTTTAAAGAGGTACAGAGAGATTAAGTGGCTCTCCTAAGCCAGTGGTAGGGCCAGTATTCAAACCCAGAGCCTCACTCGTAACTAGAATGTTACATTCCTTCTAAATGTTTAATAATGATAACACAATAGATAAATTTGAAATTGGTACATTTTTGTTGAGTTCTAAAAAGGTTATGCTCTAATTTTACTTAGTTGATAAAAAGAACTGTTATATCTTTAGTTTCACAAAAGATTTGTCGATGTTAACTACGGACTATCAAGAAAAAAACTCTCAACATCTTTTAAGAGGTGAGTTTTATTCTCTTGTCACTAGAAATACATCTAAATAGGAAACATGATCATCCTCTTTAGACATGTTTCTTCTAGCAAATATATGGTACCCTCAGATAAATCCCTCTGTCTGAAAAAACACTGTGGACAGAACCAGTCTTTGTAACTGGTAACAGCCAAACATTCTCTGGTATAGATAAGAAAGTTTAAAAATGATGAAAATCTCATTAACCAAAGCAATATAGTAATTTCTAGATCTTGGATTTTACCTGTTATTGTGTGTCTTAAAGTAATCCAGTATTTTAAAATAATTTGAGCAAATACTTGGGTGTTTCTACAGCACTTGCCTAATACCTTAAACATTAGCATTGTCCCTGGCACACTGGAGTTGCTCAATAAATAGGTGCTTAATTAAACTGCTCAAAATATGTTCATACTTTGGGCAGCATACTAATTTGAATTAGGGGGAAAAATGCCCTAAGGGCTTGCTTTTAAGGCTCCTGTCTGAGCAGAATTAAAACACAAAGTAAAATTACAAACTGAATGAATGTGTAATACATGACAAACACCAATTCTCTTATGTTATAATATGATATTATAAATCAATAAGAAAAAGCAAAATAGCCCAGGAGAAATATAGTCAAAGCATGGAACAGGCCTTTCTTTTTCAAAGAAAAATGTATTCCCCAAAAGGTCAAATACATAAACACTTAACCTCAGTTGTAATTAACAAATGCAAATTAAAAAGATTTTTTTTCACTTATCAAATTAGCAAAGATTAAAAGACTTGATAATATCTAGTGATGCAAGACTATCAGGACCCAAGCACTTTCACATATTGTGGAGGAATCTAAGATGGCATGACTTTCCAAAAAGCAATGGTCTGCCTCTAAGAATGTGACTTGTGGATATACTCAAAGGCACAAAGATATATCACAATAAAATGTTCACTATTTTATTATTTTGTATTAACAAAAAATAGAAAGTCATTCATAGTTATTTAAATAAGTATGGTACATCCTTACAATAGGAATATGAAGCCATCAGAAAGAATGACAAATTATACATTGACACTGTTCTGCACCAATGATATCTTCTAAATATCCATGTATAGTATGATCCCATTTGCTGGGCCATCTTTCTGCCACTTAAATATATGCAGGGGCTATTTCATCCTTGTTTCCCTAGAGTAATCTTATAAATGTATCTATTAAGAAATAATACTTTATGAAACCAATAGTGGTTACCATAGAGGAGACTAATGAGTGAGTTTAAATTTATTTATATATTTATTTTATACATACATACATTTGTATACATATCTATATAAATTTACATATATGTACTTATATTTTCAACCTTTTAAAGTGGCAAAAAAATGACATGCATACTGAGTATAAACTGATATAATCTTTCTGGAAAGATGTTATAATATGAATATATCTAAAATAGATATAGAAAAGTATGTACAAGGATGTTCACTGTAGTAAACTTATAATGAAAAATTGGAAATAACTCTGATTATAATTTACTTATTTAAAGGACTGAAATTAAATAAAGCCATAAGAGTAAGGCCACAGAGAATACAATGCAGTTATAAAAAATGATATTTAGAGAATTATTTGACATAGGAAAATGGTCATGACACAAGAAGTCATGAGGCCAAAGTTTTTATAAAGTACACCACCAATTTTGTTTTAAAAAATATGCTTAGAAAAAACCATATATAATCAGAAAACTCCCTATATATTTTAAAGCTCCCTTTTCCCTTTTTTCCCCACCTGAAAGAACAGCTGCTTCACCACTCACTCCTCAAACCCTCGTAGTCTGGTCTTCTCCCTATTACACTCCAGAAATTACAAGAGTTTCAACTATATAATCACTGAGCTGCTTCAGTTCTCATCTTCCGACTTTTCTGCAACATTTAATGTTTTTGTCCAAACTTTTACCTTTTTTCTTAGTTTTGGTTCCTTCTTTTGCTGCGCCATCTTCTTGCCACTTAAATATATGCAGGAGCTATTTCATCCTTGTTTCCCCACAGTAATCTTATCTGCTTATGTCCCATACTGTTTCCTGCTTAAGACTAGATGATGGCCATAATTTTAACTGAGAAATGAGTGCAAAATATTCTTTTAAAATTTGCTTTTAAAAATCTGTATCTGTTGTTAAGAATTTAAAAGCAATTCCTGCTCTGATCCCTTTCAGCATAAACTATGAAAAATAGGAGACACAGAAATAAGTGACTCACCAATTGTATAAATAACTTCAACATCATCCATTTGTGAATCAGTAATGCTATTCTTGGCTTCACCTTTCACTTCCCCAAGGAGAAAACCTTCCTATGTATAAAAATAAGCAGTAAGTATATGGAATACACTGAAAGAACTATCATTCAGTCACTTAACTAACCAATATTTCTCAAGTTATTTTACAATGTATACAATATGTACTACCAGCTCCGGGCACAGAAAAGAAAGACCAGATGCACTTCCAGTTCAGCTGGGAAACACAAACAATGAAATAAAAATGAGATGAAGAGATTGTAAATACCACTGTATTTTAGCACACTTGGAAGCATAAAAGGCTTAAAGCCAGAAATGAGCACCCAGTGCTTAAGGAACAAGGAACAGAGTCATTTGCCTTGGAACTGAAAGCTCCCATTTGTCAGGAAGTCATAGACAGGAATAAGCCCAATAATGGAGCATCCTGAATGACTAGCCAAGGACTCTGAATTAATGGCATGTACTTCTGGGAGCCAGTGGAAGCTTCTGAGCTATGAAATGACACAATGATCAATGTTTTTAGATTAAAAATTGTGAAAAATATTAAAGATTTGGAATTCGGTATCAGAGTCTGCTTCTTAAAAGGGGAGCTGTGAGCCCCGATTTTTTAAAAATTACGTGCATTTTGCCACAATAGTGACTTCTTTGAATTTTGGAGAATTCAGTTATTTCGCTTGGCACATTTAAAGACCTACTGTGCTTAATAGACAATGAAGATCTTGTCTTTATAATTAAGAATGCTTCTTCCCCCCATTTCATTAAAGCGCACAAAAGGAATGTTTCCACAATGTGAGTCTTTACTGGAATCAAGGGGGAACAATCCAGAACTCTACACTGTAGTGTTCTAGACAAATCTGGAGAAAGGAAGCAGGGACAATGCAAATAAAACTATCCAGAAAATCACCCTTTAAAGACTTTTAGGAAAAAGATCTAAGAAACAAGGGCCTAACACTAGATTACTTTCCAAGGGCTAATCTTTTAAGCTGCAAAGGACTTAAAGACCCATTGTTTATATTGCTATGACATTCTGAAATAATTTTCACAGCTACATACATTTTAAATTGTCATATATTCGCTCTTTGCTAGGTATTAATCTACAAGGTTATTTAAGAAATTACTAGACTTTGTTCAGTATGGTATTCTCTTAAATTGTATTAGCAAGTTACTAAACACTCTAAGACACTATTCGAACTCAGTTTTCCAGTTTTTTAAATTTCATAACAATAAATTTTTAAAAGTTGGCACTGTATTTATTCACTACTTCATCCAGAGGTTTTGAACCAAGGCAACTAGTATGAAATAAACATTTAAATATCTAATATTTGAAAACAAATATTTAAATTATAACTGAAAGCATCAGGAAAGGAACGAGGTGAGGCCTTACAATTTAATACCAATGCAAACTGAAGTCAGACATCCGATACCAAAGTAAGCTTTTTCATTTATTAAGGTTTCCCAAAAAATAGCCACTGGATGTAACATCTCTTATTCCTTTCCCACCCTACCATTTCGACAAGAGCAGCACGTACTCTGCATGAAAAAAATTTGGTTGTCTGAAAACGTCTGTAGGTAGGTACGTGAAACGGAGTTAACCGGCAACCTTCTTAGCGGTAGCAAGAAAACGCTACGTAAACTTTCTAGCCTTTCACAACCAAGTTGAATCAGAAAAAAAGGGGAACTGTTGAAAGAAAGAAATGGGAGTGTGTGAGACACTAGGGTTGGGACAGAGAAATAAACATGGACTACAAGAGAAAGGCTAATCCTGGAAAAGACTTAGCGGGCGGGAAGGACACCTCGAGCCACCCGGGAGCGGGAGAAGCCAGAGCCCGGAGGCTGAGGCCGGCGCTGCGACGGCGTCGGGGAGCTCGCGGGCCGGGACCCGGGCAGCGGCGGCGGGGAGGGCACCGACTGTCCGTATTGAGGTGCTGGAAAGACAGCGCGCCGAGCACAAAGCCCGAGAGCACCGCCGACGTACTCTCGCCCTCCATGCTCCTGGCGCCGCAGCCAGCAGGAGGGGCGGAGCCGGACGCGGCGGATCCGGAGCCTTAGGCGGGCGAGGCGGGGCCGAGCGAGGAGGCGGGGCCTGCGCCTGCGCTCTGGCCGCGGCGCGCTCCGCGGAGGCCCCGGCCTGGAGGCGAGAGCGCCCTCTGTTGGGGTGGACGAGGCGGAACGGCTGTGCGGGGCAGGGCGGGTCCTGTGTTCCTCCCCGCGCGGCGCCAGGGGTTTCCTCCCTGGCTTCCCTGACGACTTGGGAGGGCATGGAGCGCGTTTTGGTGGCCAGCTGCTGCTGAGGGATCCGTGGTATAAGTACAAAACTATTAAAAATGAACACTGCTGACAGAAAAGAAGCATGGCTTAGTGACATTGTAATGCTACAATGGATATGCCGCGTTTATGGTTTCAAACTGCATGATGCTGCCCTTTACCCATTGTCGAAATTGCTAAAATACTAACAGAGTTTCAAGATTGTGTCTTCTAGAACTCTCCAGCGACGTTCAATCGGGGAAGAGGAGGATGGTGGGAACGGGAGACGAATTGGGTTTCTTGGAGTGTTTGCTTTTAGAAAATTAAGGACTCAGGTTAAAGAATACCCAGATTTTTAACGTTGTTCTGACGGCTTAAAAGCAGGTAAAATCATACTGTGTTGAATCGTTTGATATAAATGATATGGGGAGTGGGAAGTCCAGGACATGACAATTATCCACACATGATGTTCAAAGCTATGGTTTTTAAATGATTGAAAGAAAGCAAAATGTCAGACTACAGATGCCCCTCTACTTAACGATGGGGTTACACCCAGATAAAACCACTATAAATTGAAAATATCTTAAGGTGAAAATTTATTTAATACACCTAACTTTTTGAAACATCATAGCTTAGCCTAGCTTATGTGAGGAATAAAATGAATATTGGTGGGGTTGAAAAAGGTCTTAATACAGCATTATCAAAGCTTGGGTGGGCTCAAAAGACCCCTGCTGGTCTCCTAACATTAAAATGCCCCAAACAAGTTCTTCTCTGTTTACCCCAGTTTGGAGAAGTTCTAAAAACTGAAAGGTAAAGAATACAATGAGAAATCTGATCTGGAATTGGCTTGGGCAATAGTGAAGTTAATCAAGATAAAGACAGGCGAAAAGGCCGGGGTTGTGGGGCTGAGGACCCAAACCTTATGCACAGGAGTGGATAAAATGGTCAGGAGGTGAAGAAGAAAAGTTTCTGAGTTTCCTTGACACAGGAGCCTCATGTATTGTATACCAACACCTGTTGGTGAAGCCCTAACATAGGCTACAATTTGAGTGAATATAGAAATGTGTAAGAGTTGATAATAGGATTAAGGTAAAAGTTTGAATGAAAATTATAATGTTTAAACAGGCTTTATATGAAGAAGTCATGTCTCCTTTATCTGAATGCTTTATAGGAATAGATATTACATCTGAGAATACTCCTCTTACCTAGTACCATAAAACCAAAACCTGCTAAGGCTTTTAATTGATATCATCTAATTGTCCTATAATAAAGCTGTTCTAACTTACAATTCTATAAGAAATGAGTGCCTCGAAGAAATGAAATGTCATTAAATGGAATCTTTGCCAATGTTATAGGTCACAAATTTTCTTTTAATTTCATTTGATGTAGTTAGTACTACTTTGCTTCCTCATGAAGCTGAGACATGTTTTTAGGTCATTTATTTGTTCTCTTGTGAATTACTCCCCCTCTCTCCCTCCCTCTCTTTCTCTTTCTCGCTCTCTCTCTATATGTGTATATATATGTACCCCTTTTCTATTGCTCTTTATATCTTATTGACTTAAGAGTGTCTATATATTAAAAGTAACCAGTTGTCTGTCATATATTGAAAGTGGTTTTTTTCCTAGATGGTTCTTTTAATTGTATTTAAGATCATTCTTTTTAATACAGAAGCTTTAAAACTTTGTATTTAAAACTTTTTTTATGTCCTTAATATTTCTTTCTAAGATATCATGTTTAGGAATACTTCCTTGTCATGACTAATAGTCATTATTCTTGAATAAGAGGCAATTACTAATTAAGATGAATGGACTAATGTCACTGGCTGAATGGAACCATAACAGAGATCGATTACCAAAAGCCTGAACACTGGACCCATACAAACAATAGAATTGTTTTAAGAAGACTTTTAAAACATAATTATTTGTTCCTTTCTTCACTAAAAGGAACTAGTGCTCCTTGGAGAAAAGGCTGATTTCAAGAGCTGGGGCAGAGAAAATACAAGATAAGCCTGAAACAATATTTTTGGTGCTGGAAAGTAAAGATGGGTTCAAAGAATGATGTAAACATGTCAACCTGACATAGGAGTTAGGTGGAAGGGGCTGATACTGACCAAATCTGAGGTAACCTAAGTATCAAAATAAATAACGGTAGTAATGGATTATGTCTCATTCGATAAAGTAGGAATCTTTTAGTCCACATTGATATAAATGAATGGATGAATGAATGAATGAATGAATGGGGTAAGAGAAATTCTTCCTTACAGTAGGATATCAACTAATAAATGTAGAAGAAATCATGAAGTTAGAAAATCCCTTTTGGCAACTATCATCATCATCATATTCAACAGAGGCAACGGATACTCAAACTAGAGGATAGAGGACAAGTTATTTAAGGAGTCTCCAAATATCTCCCCAAAAGGTATTTATAAATGACAGGAGGAAAAATAACTTTAAAAACACCACCTTAACTAAATAATGAAGGTTAACATCACTAGTAAAGAGACAAATGGACATCAGATGCCTCCTGATAAGGTGCTCTGAGAAGGCTGCGATATTCTTGCTAAAGTGCATTAGCTGAATTTTCTCATGAAGAAACATCAGACAAACTCAAATTGAAGAACAATTTATAAAATAACTGACCTGTACTCATCATAAATGTCAATGTTATGAAACAGACTGAGGAACTGTTGTAGATGAAGGAAATGAAAGAAACAAGACAACTGAATGCTGCAAGGAATAACCCACAATAACAGGGAAAATTGGTTCAAACAATACTGAACTATTGGTGAAAAGAATTTTACTTCTTTTTACTTTGCCTTGTCTATAATTAGCATACGATAACTCAGAAAAACTTGATAAATAGAGCAACTCTGAAATCTCCACTTGAAGAACTGTTTTAAAAATTTACAAATAGATTTCCTTCAGTTACCCAAATTGCAAAGCTTTGAATATGTTTGAATAATAATTTGTAAGATTTCTGGTCAGACTGAAACTTTTCTTTGTCATACTCTAAATTTTATTTTTAAAAAACTATGGATTTGTCTACCCTGAACAAGCCTGATCCCATCTGATCTCAGAAGCTAAGCAGGTCGGGCCTGGTTAGTACTTGGATGGAAGACCACTTAGGAAGACCAAGTGCTGTAGGCATAAAAAAATAAAAAATAAAGGATTATAAGCTGACGGGGTTCTTGCAATCTTTGAGGTCAACCAAGGGTTGCCTTGCCTAAAATAAAAAAAGAAATACCTATGGATTTTATTTTTCCAATCTGGGGAATTCCTTTGATATACTCTATTTAAAAAAACACCTCATTTTACAGATGATTTACTCAAGGAACTATGTAAGATAATTTTATGAATCAGAAATGTCATTATATCATTCACCAAATTATCAGAATATAAAATGAGATTATCTGTTATAAGATCAAAAAAGTCTAAATTTTCTAAAAAGCATACTTTCCTTTCACCTAAAGTTCTAGCATGATGATAATACAGTCTCTACCTCAAAGTCCCCATAAACTCCCATCATTTGAAATTTTTATAGGAAGACTCATGAAGTATGGCTTGATACCTACTATGACAGATTCCTTCTTGGTACATTCTAGTATTGTCAAGTATTTTTGAAATATCATTTTCACAGTATATGTCAAACAGGTACAGGATACATTCCTAAAAGGAACATTACCAGACGTACCCCTTCTTGACATGACACCAGGAGATATAAGTAGAGACACCAATAAAAGTCAGCCTTAGAACATAATGGAACGGAACATTTTGGATCTCAAATACATTTCCTAATCTCTAATGCATACTCTTGTGGGAATATGCCTTTCAGCTGTATTAATTTGCTAGGGCTGCCATAACAAAATACCGTAGATTGGGTGGCTTAAACAATAAAAATTTATTTCTCATAGTTCTGGAGGCTAGAAGTCCAAGATCAAGGTGTCAGCAAAATTGTTTTTTTCTGAAGCCTGTCTTCTTGGTTTATAGATGGCTCTCTTCTCCTTCTGTCTTTATATGGTCCTTCCTCTGCATGTGTATCTATGTTCTAATTTTCTCTTCTTAGAAGGATACCAGTCATATTGGATTAGCATCTATCCTTAAGACCTCATTTAACTTCAATTACCTCTTTCCAAATACAGTCACATTCTGAGGTACTGGATTTTAGGAATTCAATATATGAATTTGGGGGGATACAATTCAGCTCATAACACTTATGAATAGACAAAACACACTTCTCTTGTGCTTTTCTTCCTTGCCCTCATATTATTACTACACAATACTTCTGTCACCAGATGTGTGGGTTTTCCACATATCAAGCAATTCTCCTATACTAGCTGGGGTGCCCTACAATTAAATTCAGTCCGACACTATCTATCTGGAGTTAATTTCAGTCAATTTCAGCTCTTAGCACAGTGAGAGCTACCCAGGGCTGTTTCCAGCTCAGTGCAGCCAAATGTGCATGTGTTCCTGGAGCAGCTTACACGCAGCTTACAGGAGCCAGGATAGGAAAAGATACTTCATGCAAATGGTAACAGGAAGAAAGCAGGAGTGGCCGTACAAATATCAGCCAAT